GCTGGGTGAAACTTAATGGTCCATGAGATACAAGAAGTCAGTAGAAATGATCTAATGTCCCTTTCTAGTCTTAAACTCAGTGAAATGGTGAAAATTCTGCTTGTAAAGGAAACAGTAGATGAGCAGTTGCCAGGATCCCCTACCAGGATTCTTCCCCAGCTGTGTCCATGGGGAGCAGTTCCCTTTTTGCAGTCTTGTTTGCAGATTCTCAGCAGAATTGCACTATTTTCACTCTTGGAGACCAAATCCTCATTTCCATCCTTCTGTGCAGCCCATTTGCCCTTCCTCCTCCCTCAAATGTCATGACTGTTTCAGCCTCTCTTTGTGGTGACTGTTTCTGAGAGAATTTTTTTTTGTTTACCTTCTTTTGCCAAAGTCTGAAAGAGATAGCTGTTTTATCTGACATCATCTGCTTTTCACATGGATCAGATCAAACCTCCAGTTGCAAAATGCCTCTGTCTCTTAATGGCAGAAGTCAGTTCTGTTCATCTAGTCTCTCTGTGTCTTGTTGAGGGCTATAGTCAAAACAAAAGTCACCAGAAGTTTTTGTAGGCTTGAAACATCTTTTTTTGTTTCTTCTTATGCAGTGAAAATGTGCAATTTAAAGTTGTGGGAATGTATTTCTCTTTTTCTTGAAAGCATTTGCATAGGTGACCAGAGTTGCCTCTCTTCAGCTGCCAAGTAGGTGTCCCCTCCTGTGTGTGCTTTCATTAAAATCGGTGTTTCCTCTCTCCTGTTTAAATGTTTTACCTTGAATATTTCCATATGAAAAGAGAACCTTGAGAAAAACTGCAGGACTAGAAATCCTGGAGTCTGGGGATTCCAAGAATGAGTGAAACGCTGATGCTTTTTCCTCATCTGAATTCAAGGACACATCAGCTCCACAATGGCTGTTTTTCCCCAGAGGGAAAAAGGGCTCCCCTGCTTTCTCTACCACATCAGTCACTTTTTAACTAACTTACAAACTATTTCGATGTTTACAGTAAGTTAGAAGTGGTTTTAGAACAGTCTGACAAACTCACCTCACCTGGCTGCAACAGGCACTGCAGAGTTGTGTACAGAGAGGAGATAGTTGTTGCTGGGCTGTCTCCAGAATAACCAGGTGACAATCAAGGTTATGCCTCTACTTTAACTTACTTTGTCTTTTTCTTGGATTGACACTAGGGAGCCCCAGTGAGAGATCCTGTGTGTGGAGAAGGAGAGATGCAGGATGTCTGTGGTGCCTGGTGCAGCACACCCTGGGAATGTCCCAGCCACAAATCCCAACGTGCTTAATTATACAAGACTGATCAGGGTGAATACAGTAGTAGTTGCCATGGTTATCAATCATTATAAACGATATTTTCCATGGCTTTGTTTATAGGAAAACTATCCTGTAATTAATTATTAATTCATTATAAGATAATAACACAGGTACAGCCCAGAACTGATGTTCTCTGTTCTTTCCCTTTGTGCAGTGGCCAAGAATAGCATATGCAAACTGTCACAGATGTCTGCATATGCATCCAAGTAAACCCTCTTCACTCATGCTCACATCCTTGGATAGGCAAACATTTATGCTG